CCTCATCAATAAGTACGGCCTCATTTTCAAATTTCTCTCGCCAAAAAACTTCTCTTTTTTCCGCGTTTCGTTTAGCCATTTGTGCCCTTTTTAGTTGGTACTCAACTTCCTCTTTGGTCAGGAATTTTTTATTGCAATAGGGACTGGGGGTTTCGTTGTTCGCCTTTCGCTTTTTGCCCTTTTTATCTGCTGACTGCACTCGTAAACAATTTTGGCATGTATTCGATGGACTAGATGTTAACACCAGACAATTCTGAGCGAAAACCTTTTTCCCTTGGAGCCCATCTGTCATGCTTTCTAAAACGCCAGTGCGGTGGGGCACCATAGTCATAACTCTTTCCGATTCTTTTAAGGGAAATCCAAGAAATTCAAGCTCTCGATAAATTGTATGGTAAGTAAAATTTGCCTGTCAAACGACATCTTGTTAAATAGCTGCTCGACACCTAGATCTTTTTTGACATCAACACTGCACTCGTGCGAATTCACCTTAAGGGTAATGTTCGACGGAGTATTGTGTCACTCTAAGTTCAATTATGCCTCTCTGATTGCTGAACTCCCAGCTTTCGTGATGGATAAAACTGATTTGGTCGGATCCATCTTTAATGGCATGCCAGCCATTTGGCAGCAGTAAAGAAGAAGTGCTGAGGGAGGTTGAAACTCTGTCAGTTCTTTGAATGCGCTGTAGATTAAAGTATGCGCGTTGTTTATTACCTTTCGGCCCTCGTTGTACAAGACGTACTTGTTCGGAAAATAACTCTTTCATCAAGCAACCCAGAGTACAGCGTGTTAAGTCTTTGTTAAAGTTTTCTTTTTCTTCATTTGAATGTTTCAAGATGTCATTCACGAACACCAGTCCATCTTCGGCGTATTCGTAATTTCCCAAAATCCTACGAAAACTATGAAATCAGCTAGGGAATTTATGGAACGCTAAATAATAAACACATCTTATGTTTGTGCATTGAGGAATATAATATTTGAGAAAAAAAGTATTGAAAAAATGAAGAGGTGCAGTGGATGGGCTATTTCCTCACGAGAAGCAATTAAGTTGCTCTAGTGGGTGAATGCGGATTTATACTCACCACAATTTCCATTCTGTCGTGCAATGAAGACTGCTTGCTTTCCTTCTTTGTCGGATACTGCAATTTGTTCATTAAACCACCAATTTTGCATCGCTGCATTGAAGACATGCTTTTTCAAAGCTACATACCGTGGGTATACCGTGACGATTCCGTACTTTGTTTTGAAAGAGGAAATTTTTCACTTCTCATTCAAGTTTCACCAGTTTTGAGCTCCGATTGGTCAATGAGAACACTGCGTGCAAGTTAGCCTTTGCGAGGGTCGGGCCCAAGGGTATTGATGTCAACGGGAGCAAGAGACTGTCTCTCACCCCGAGTGTGAGTAATTTGAATCTCAGACCAGGTCGCTAAGCTATCTTTCAACCGTTTGGGTAACGCGGAGCTCATCCCGAGCCTCAGTCGATGGCTTCAATCGGGAAGGTTTGCAGAGATTGGCGACCTTTGATTCGCTCTCAGTGCAAAGGCGTCTTGAAGCAAGGTAACGAATGGAAAGGAGAACTATCGTGTGTTACCTAGGCGGAATTTGGATGCGATTGGAGCAGTTGGAGTGAATTTACCGCCGTTTTCCTTCGGTGGATCAGTCGAGCCGCTTCGCTGGAGTGCCCAACCTTGGTAAACCTTTATATAGAGAGAAATCCGTTTACATAAAAACCCATAAAACGGCCATAAATCGGCCCGTGGACCACACAGGAGAGACGTAACACGCATTTCAAGTAAGGTAAGCTGTTTTTTACTGAAATTCTTTCATTTTCGTAGGTTACAGAACCGATAGGTTTTTTTCCCATACAAATCCTTATATTTTGAATGTTATGCAACAATGCCGATGCTCGCCGATGCTCATTTCGAGCTTGGGCTACCTGTGTATAAATGTGTTCATTTGATTCCTTTCGTTTTCTTTCAGAATGCACCTCAGCTTTAATTGGCTAATAGTTTGATACTCTTTAATATTAATCCTGTAGATCTAGAAAACTTGAAAAAAAGAAACAAAGTCTGGGAGAGCATTAAGCTAGAAAAAAAGAACGCCTTCAACCTCTGCAAAGACTACAAACAAATCATTATCTGCAGGCAACGTGGGTGCTGTAGCCAAGGGAAAGATAAAAGTTTGTTACTTACTACATCCTTGTATATACTTGTACTTTTGTGTCATAACTGCACAACCTGGAAAAGTGTGTCAATGAGAAGAGCAAAATTAAGGGATGGGACACAACTCACCGACTCCATTTCTTTATTGCACTAACCCCAAGACTCTTTACATGCTGATTATCATTCCCCTTTCTGTTTCCACTAAGAAAATGTTTGATTTATTTTCTCCTCTAATGATTTGCTAACACTACGAATCTCTTTTTCATGAAAATCCCACGAAAATGTGTTGAAAAACCCATGAACCCTTTTTCATGGCCATGAAAACAGCGATTTCGGATTTCATGGTGTTAAATTAAGTCATCAAATTTCCATGAAATTGTTTAACAGTTATTTTCATGAACCATGAAAAGTTTACAAGGCCATGAATATGGATTTTCATGGGTCATGAAAGTCTCATATATTTTAGACCGATACATTTCATGACCCCTGAATAGGCAGTTACAGCCGAGCATGTATTTCATGAGTGATGAAAGTTCTAGTGGCCCATGAAATTCTCATGAAGGCACAATTAAAGACCCATGAAAGTGTCCAACTCACATTACCACGAAAGTAGACATTAATGCCTTATAGAAATGTTGCACACATTTATTAATTCGTAATAGCTCTTGCCAGATCTGTTAAAATTTAAGTCAATAAAGTTCGTGATGACACATTGATGCAGAAAAAATTTGCGTGATTAAAAACAGTTACTTGTGAGTCCAAAGAAATAGCTTCATAGACTCTTGTTACTGAAAATTTATTATACTGTTTGTTTCAATCCCTTGTAACTTAAAATTGCACTTTATGGAGGGGGACATGGAGGTTTACGGTATTGCAATATTGGTTTTTTTTTCATGCGGTATTTCGGTAATTTTAATTTTAACGTGCGGTATTGCAGTATCATCTAGCCTTGCAGTATGCGGTTTTTCCATATTTTGGCTGACGGTATTCGGTGAAATATGATTGTTTACGGTATTGTGGTATGGTTGTTTGCGCTTTCCTTTCGATACTATACGCCAAACAAAACAGAGTAAGACCTGATGGTCAATCTATACTTCTTATCAGCCGAGTTTTTGGTGCGTATTGTAAATTACGGACCAAGTTTTTTTCCATCGATTTATGGCCCAAGCGCGAAGCGTGCGGGCCATAAATTGATGGAAAAAAACGAGGATCCCTAATTTACAGTACGGACCGAAAAAACGAGGCTAATAAGATGTTTATTATATGGCTTCTTCCTGTTTGGGGGACCGGAAACAAGTGCAGGATGCACGATTTGACAGTCTTTTGACAGGCGTCAAAAAAGAAAGTTTCTATTGGCGCACGAAACCAATAGCACATAACAAAGGCTTTCCAAGAAAGTAAAAACAAATTCGCCATGTTGAAAAAGTTTATTCGGTCAAAACTAAGAGCACTGTACGTTTTAGCTCTTTAATGTAACGCTAGAATATTTTGGAAACTGAACACTGTGTCTGTCTAGAAGTCGTTTCCTTCTTTCCTCCGTTTGTCCTTGTAAGAAAAAACACTGCAAAAGGCAAAGAAGCTTTCCAAGGTAAGTTTGTTGTCATTGTCGAAGGATTCGCTCGTTAATTGTTTTTGGGAAAACCTCTCTTTCTGCCAGGTCATTCTCGTCTTCAATTGTGATCTGCGTTAAAATTTTCAAACACTGACTAGAATTCTCTTCCTCGGTAAGGTTACGATTCAGTCTCTACATCAGCTTCGTTCTCATTAAAACAAAGCTACGTTAAAATTTGGAAAGGCAAAGTCAACATCCCAGTCCTCAGGGTTTACAGACATATTTTAAAGTTTATTCAGTCAAAACTAAGAGCACTGTAAGTATTCACTAGTTAATGTGTTTCTGGAGTCTTTTGAAAACTGGACATTGTGTCTGGCTCGAACTCGCTTCCATCTTTCTTTCATTGGTCTTTGAAAAAACACTGCAAATGGCAAAGAAGCTTGTCAAGATGATCGGGTGGAGGTATGTTTGTTATCATATTACCGGTGCGGTGTGTGAAATAGGTCAGATAGTCGAGATAGGTGACTCAAAACTCGCACTAGATGTGCGTGGAAAGGGTTTTGGTTGGTTGTTTTTTTGTTTTTGTTTTCGAGCTTTTAAGAGTTATTTCCATAGGAGTTAATTAGCTGTTGGTTCGACCTATAAGACCCTATAACCAGAATTGTCTGTGAGCTACAATGGAGGACAAAAGAACTTGGGACTGTGTGAAAAAGCCCTTTCAAGCAATAGTTCCGTAGGATTCTGCTCCCAAGGACAATTTTTTGTTCGGCTTTGGGTTCATCCCGTCGTCCCCCCCACTTTCCCTAGCAATGTTGTGGCCAAAAAAAGCACTCAGTTTTACCCATTTTGCTTCAAATTCAACTCTGTTTAGGGTGGGAGGGGAGGGGTCGCTAGTTTTAGTAATATCACTAGAAAGGTCCCAACACTTTTGACCTCCATTGTAGGTACTCACAGTTTGCCAGGAAGGTCAGGAAGCTGTTTAGTCCATTTGAAGTGACCAAGAATAAAAGTCTGGCACAATTTTATGATTCCTATAATCTAAAAAAGCTCTAATATTGTCTTTGACTTATTTAGACTCTCTGTTTCACTGTTTTGAGGGGGAGTTTAGGGCTTACGGTATTGCTATTCCGTTTCTATTTGTCCATGGACTCCCACGCCAGGATGACCCGGGGTCGAGTGTAATCGCACCGAATACAGCTGTCTCTCCTAGCCTCCTGGCTCCTTCCCGCTAGGTATGTTTTCTTTCTCCTTATTCACATGCATGCTGATAGACCCTAATATATGGTGTTATGTCGTTTACTACTTTTAGTGAACTTATTGGCATAAAGGAAACAGTGAAGTTGCTCGGTCTAGGAGAAAATCTTCGAGTGGAGCTGAGTAGGTGGTTCTGTAGAGGCTTGATGGATAGATAACTGAAAGTTGCCTTATCTCATATTCTAGTTTTCAGGGCCGAGTTGTTCAAAGCTGGGTTAAGATAACCCAGGGTTAGTGCGAGATTTAAATTCAGATTTGAAAGCTTAAAAAGCATTTCAGTTTAATTTAATTTTGTTGTCTACAAGTTGATGATTGGAAGCTCTAAAAATAACAAAGAAAATTACCGGAGAAAATGCTTCTGAACACAAGAAAAAGAAGCAAGGGTTAAATTTAACCTCAGGTTACGCACTAACCAGCCTTCGAACAACTGGGCTCACATGTTACAGTGAAACCGGTTGTTCATTTGTGTGCCACTTTGCAATATTGTCACGCAATGTTGGTATTTTGATTGGCAGTTTGCTCCGAGCAAGTTGCGAGCTCAAATTTCAACTTGCTGCCTCGTGGTCTTTGTCTGTTGCGGTGGAAGTAAAAGCGGGATGTTTCAGGTACTGTTACAATACTTTGAAGACAGGTACGCCAGTTTTTATGTACAAAACCCAATTACCGATTTCACGGAATTACTAGAGCGAGTGAAGAAAGCGGTTCCTGTTCTCAAAGGTATCTCAGACGACCAAATCAAGATCTCGTACAAGGATGTACAGTTGGGGACTTTCGTAAACGCATTTCCTTGTGGTTCTGACTCTTACAGGCGAGTGCAACTGAAAGTCAGGGAAAGTGACTCACCATTTCTTCTGAAAAGTTCTCGAGGCTCACAGCCACTACCACAAGAAACTGAGCACACGAAACCGAACGTTGCGAAATTGAAACTTGAACAGAAAACACTTTTCACACCATCCGATGATTGACATGAATCAGAGCTGGCTAGCACTTTCAACTGGAAGGATTCTCAGAAAGAACAGTTGATTTCGCAGCAACAAAGTCTCTGCGACAAGAAACTAGCTATTGAAACCCATCTTCGAAAGCTTGAATTGCAAATTGTGGAGCCGCCTTGTGTTGGAAGTTACAATTCAATTTGTGGAAACTGTCACATTCCTAGTCACCGAAGTGATGGTAACAAAAAGAATGATAAGTGTAACGCACCTCGTTGTACTTAGTACTTTATGTGTGGACAAAAAAAGAAACATAGTGAGCATTTTGAAGAAATAAAGGAAGAGGAAACGCGAACTAAAGGAATTCACTCGTGAAATTGAAAAAGTAAACATGGAGAAAAAAAACCTAGAGGCGTTCCAGTCCAAGAGTATTTGGGCTTTTGCTACTGCCGTAACGCAGCGTTTGCTCAAAGCATTTCCAGAAAAATATTCCCCCAGAACGCCGGGAGGAAAATTAGCACTTCAAAAAGATATTGCAACACTTCGGATAGACTGCAACAACAAGATTCCCTCTGTCGCAGACGACGAAAGGAATATGTTTTTGGAAATACTTGAAAAACAAAGACAGCTGAGTGCTCTGGAAATGAATCGCGTTTCAGTTCAGATTCATTCGTCCAATTGTAATGAGTCATGCATTGGCAAGCACAAGTATGTCGAAAGTCCATTCAGAAGTAGTGACAGTAAATCAATTTGCAATATCGCCTATTCGTAGCACTGTAAGACAAAAGCAGAGAAGGTCAAGGAGCAGCAGTTCCGAATCAAGTAGTGAGGACAGTTCTGATTCTTCGACCGATCGAGAGAGAAAGCAACGTCAAAAGAAACGTCGCAAACTGGCGAAGAAAAAAAAGTACAGACAAGAAAAAGCGGTGCAAGAGCACATATAGTTGCAGCTCGGATGGTAAAGCTGATGCCCCAGTCGATGGCTCTTCCCTTTGTCGATCCTCTAAGGAACTTTCACGAGGAGACATCACAGGAGGAAACTGTTCGTTAACTGAGTTAGCACCAATCGCTGTAGCTATAGACGAATCACGTAAAACATATTAAAGTAAAAAATACAGTTGCAAACGAAAACAGTTTACTGCAAATATATATGTTTGTAGTTTTAGAGCTTGTTGTTCAGTTCTATCGATTCGTCTTGTTTTGCATTATGATTGCCACGATTACTCTTACGTTTCACATTATTTCAGTTTTATGATACTGTAGAACACTGATGCTTGGTTAAGTTAGTGAATAAACACAATCTTGCTTTTATTTGACATCTGTGTGTACTAAAAAGGTGTTTGTGTATACGTTCCCACTGTCTGGTATTTGGACCCGTTCCAAAAAATTATGAACTTTATTTTTATACTATAAATTTAGGACATAATAGCTCTCCATTGTGTGGAATTCGCGAGGCTTTGGACAGAAAGTAACTTATAAAAGACAAATCTACAATGATTGAAAATGTTCTGTGAAATAGCTGGCATGATTGTTTGCAAACCTTGAATAATCGCAAGTTCTGTGAAGTTAGTTGAAAACTGTTTGTGTTGTCTCAAATATGCCTTCATCGACCTAAAACAAAACTTACAAGAATTAAACTCAGGACTATAAGGGGGTTGAAAAATTAATTCAACACCGCGATTTCTTAGCATAAAGCGCAACTGGTTTTCCGCGAAAACTCCGTTGTGAAAGCCGCAGTTGTCCATCACAATAACATCTCCATTTGCCAAGACTGGATTCCCCACATGGTCTACAGCTTGTAAACTTTCTTGGAAGAAATGAATCATTTCAAATCCATTAGAAGGGCCTTCCAAAATATTAAAGTTATCAATACCAAAACGGCTATGGCGAAGGTTTACAGTGTAGTTACAGTTTGAGGCGTACCGTTGGATTTCAACTGCTGGAAGGCGTTTCTTGCTATGTCCGTAACTCCGATTTGGCGTTGTTTTCACGACCGAGATTTCGTAAAAAAAATGAACCGTAGAGGGATCAACTCCCGACATATACATAATATAGTTCAAAGTTTTCAGAAGATTTTCGTGAGTTAAAGATTCTGATGGACGGGAAAGTTTTTTCCATGTGAATTGCAAGTCCTGTCTTACAATATCGGATATTGTTGAGCGAGCGGGGAGATTAGCTGGAGTACATATGGCGTTGGCAAGTAAGCTTTGCTGTCTTTCAAAAGTTCATGTGCTTGGTTTAAAAACCTTGCAATACTCTACAAATTCTACCATATTTGGAGTAGCGACTGTGCGTTCTTTCCATCCTGGTTTTCCCGGAGCCGCCGTCCCATTTTGCAGGAACTTTGAAAGGATATTGGAGACGGTTTGATGTGAAAGATGAAGCCTTGAACATATTTCTTTATTTCGATAGCCTGATGACCAGAGGGAAATTACTTTTTCCCTCTTTGAAACAGAGGTTATGTTGCTTGCCATCGCAGTCAACTCACAATATTCCAATATGAAAAACCGTTTCCTCAGGCAGCAAATTGAAATTTGAATCGCAACTTGCTTGGAGCAAACTGCCAATCAAAATACCAACATTGCGTGACAATATTGCAAAGCGGCGCGCAAACGAACAACCGGTTTCACTGTAATAATAGATGGCACTCGTAGCACTTCTTAATGTTTTTACATTGTTTCTCTAACAAAAGGGAGTCGAAGAAAGATAGGAGAGCCAAAAGAATCTCAATTGATGCTGACCATCAGTTGGAAATTGAATTCAAATCAATACTATATGGCAAAGACAAATTGCAACGTAAGTCGAGGTCCAGTTATTATTATTATTATTATTCTTATTATCATTATTTGCCTTAGTATGTCACATGGGTAATACGCAAGGGCGGAGGTGGGTGGGGATAAGAGAATAGGTAATGCTTCTTCAGATTTCAGACATCAGGGTATAACGTTTTTTCGCTTTCCACTGCAGTTATAATTTACCTGATAGAGATTGTAATTTCAAGCAAATGTCTAACAACTGTTATTAAAGAATTGACTGGCACTAACCCTTTCGCCAACGTCTGCCCCTTCGACATCCACATCAACTTGCAATTTAACCGAGGAGGAAAAGACAATTAAATGAAGGTAAATGTTTCGTTTTTGGCTTGTAGCGGTCTTTGAAGTTTCATTGCTTCAATTCTAGAATGTTTTGTCTCTCTATTAGACGAATATAATAGAAACATTTTTGTCGATTACGTGCTTTTGTCTCTACTATAAAAAAACCAGTGTAAAAGTTCCTTTTTGTTTTCAAATGCTGATATAAGTTTGACATTTTTTCATTATTCTATAGAACTGTCCAAGAGACGAAACAGTAAAATAGTACATTGCAACATGCATCCACGTATCAAAGTGCGCGGAAAAGTAGTTGAATGGCCATGGAAGATTCGCTGCGGTTGCTGTGGCAAGAATCTGAGGCTGCGTTATGATGCTGATTTCAATGGAAGAATTGTTTATTTTAATCAGCGTAAGTTGACTTCTTTTTATTCAATACCAGCTGTCATAGCTATTAAGGGTAAAATTAGCAACAAAATCACCTGAAAGTTTAACAGTTTTACTTAGGGTGGACAGGAGGTCCTAGTTTAAGAAATAGAAAAGTTACAACACAGCAGTCTCATTTTAAAAGAATATTTCACATTCTTTCTTGACCTTTAGATAAAAGCGAACTGTTTCCTCTTTCAAAATTTCATTTGGCTTAACAGAAATGAGTAATGAAAAGAGCAGTAAAGAATGTTGTAAAAGGTCGTCAAGGTCTAAAAGGCTCTAATAACGCTGTGTTCACCCATACCTCTACAGATCATTATTGGAGATGTAGTACAGCCACAGAAAGGCATGAAGATTATAAGGGCAAGAAACAGGCGACCATTGTGGATATGTTCCAAGGAGCAACTAAGAGAAAAGTTCAAGGAATAAAGAATGCCAAAAGGCAAAAGTGGACTCTGACATTGACAGTTCTGACTGCAAATTGGACAGAGTAATTATATCAACATTCGTGTTCAAATAAATCTGAAGAATTGTCTTTACCCCTGTAACTTATAGAGTGACACTGACACTATGTAAACAGATGATTTGCGTCCATGGAGAAAATTACTAAAACGGTGAAACAAGACTGATAAAATGTTATAATAAGAAATGCTAAGTTTAACAGTGTTAACGAGAACGTGTTTACACATACCACTGATGTTACGCAAGTCATGGCCAGCGATATTTAGTGTGAGATTTCAGTGACTCAATTGTTACAGTTTGCATATGATATTACAATCAAAACAACACACTAACAACAATGAAAACAAAAACAGTCCATTCTTGTAACTTTTTAACTCAGTTATATCTGAACTGACATATGTATTCAAACGCAGCTGTTTGCTCTAAATGCTAAAGGTACCAAACACTGCGTGGCTAATGTTTTGTTTTTCACGATTACAATATATGAATTTGTAAACATTTCCTAGTAGAATGCAACATGAGTCAACAAGTGTATGTTCCCTTTTCTCTGTAAGTGCTGAATTTGACAATGATGTATCATTGAAAAAATATATTTAAACAAGACGTACTATTCCGACTAGGAACTATGACTCAAGTGGATGTGAAGAATATGACTCCTTCGATGAAACAGTTGATAGCCTCGAGGAGGAAAGTGATCTTCATGATGTGGATGAAATAGATGACATGATGTGGATGAAATAGATGAAATGATGTGTTGAAGAAACCCAGTCTGATAATGAAGAGTCTTGACGTTGATGATCTTTATACAGTCTATGTCGGATTAGAGGAGGCGGATCCAGTGTGAGTAAAACTTCAAGATCTTCTTCGAAAAGGAAAAATATCAAAAGACAAAATTTTTTACAGATACCTGAGTGATGTGATGGAAATCATGTAGAATCCTTTTCATGAATACGATCAAGAAGTCGTCGAGTTTTTCAACACCATTTCTTACCTTGGTGGTAAACGTACCACTTGTTTCATTCGAGGTCCAATGAACTTAGGTGATGGCCGTAACAGCCATGCAACTTTAATAAAGAGAATAATGAACCTTGGAGGACCTTCTGAAACCGTTTGTGCCAAATATCAGGCGGGGTACAGACCAGACTCGGGGATCATCAAACCCTTGACCCTTGGACATATTGAGCTTCTAAAAAATTCTCAAGCTAAGACTCTTATTGAAACATCAAAGCTCACTGTATTTCCCTGTGCCCTAGTCAACGATGGGACAGCTCTGAAACTGGCAATCGAATTTAATTCTCGACTGAAAGAAAATGTTGGATTGAAAACAACAGTAGACATAATTTACTATGTTAAAGCCAATCCTTCACCCTCCCCGGAGTTTCTACGAGAGAACATTGTTACAGAAGCAACTGTCTCGTCACTAACATCATTAGACAACTTCTGCTCTCTACCTGTTGCTATAGACTACACTACTTAGAGAGCAAAAACGGGAGAAGCTGTGGCCGAGTTATTTGAAAATCACATCAAAACTCTCCAAGCATGTGAAGCATGCCAAAAGACCTGAGATCAGCGTCATATTCTAAAATATGAACAAATGCACTGTAGCAGCTATCGCGAAGTGTGCTATCAATCAAAGGCGGTTTGTGAACAATGTAAGTTATTTGGACAAGTTAGCCACCTTCCTTCTTTACAGTTCTGTGATTCCTGCAATGACAAAGATGTCCCTTGTTTCCGCCGTGTCGTGATGATTGTTTGTAGTGACTGTGAAACAGGCAACAAAACAGCCTTCAAGAACTTAAAAGCGAAACTTGAGGCAGATGCTGTAGATCCCAACCTAGCGTTTTTGCCTGTTTTGCCTGATTGTCCTTATGTTGGGAAAAGTATAAAACCTGCATTTTCTAATTGGTGGCTGAAATGTTGAGGCGAACGAATAAACTTGGCTCTCGTTAGAACTTTGAGAAACCACTCCGATAGAGCCACTAAAGACAAATTCAAGAGACTAATTCCAAAAAATGACCATGTCAAGAACAAGGACAGGCAAGATCCATCTGCTGTCCTTACCCTAAGTAATAGCAAGTTGACAGATGAGCTGAGGAACACTGGTTATGTCTGCCATACTATAATACCCGAGTTGGACAAGTTCTCTCCCTGCAATCAAGTTGGTATGCACACTCGCCTATCACTGTTGCTGTCCCTTGCTATGGGTAGATTGCATTCTTATCATACGATGTTAAGACTTCCACATGCACCCTCTTTAAAGCTCGTCTGCCCAGTCCTGTGGACAAGATCGTTGCCATGAGGAAGAATCTTAAAGCGAAGGAAATTCATTCTTCTGACGGAATCATATTTATTTCAGCTTAGAGTGGTCCTATCAAAGCTGTAGAATTTCAAGGGTCAATTTTCCTTATATCTAAAAAAGTCAAACAGAAGAAGAAAGGGGATCTGGTAGATCTTGCAAATAAACTCCAGGTGCAATCTACTGGAACCGTAGCAGAGATTACCTCCCGAATTCAGGCGTACTCCAACTCACAGACAAAGAAGGATTCTCAGAACAACGTCAAAGGTGACCAAATCCACTTCTGGGACTGTGAAGAACAACCATCGTTCAAAGCAGTGGTATGTGAAGACAATGAGTTGATGTACCGTGCTGAATGCAGCAAAAAACCTCTAATGTCTTTCCAAGTGGAAAAGGATGGTGTCGGCCTGAAAGGCACAAATCAGCAAGTGATTGTCCAGTACAGCCCTGGTTGGCGCAAAATCAACAGTGTGTGTCTTTGTGGCAGCAGCATATTTATTTTGCAGTGTCAAGGAGTTAGTAAAATAAGCCTGGAAAGTGGAGAATGCAGGCTGCTTGTCGAGCTTGTAGACGAGCTGTGTGTACAAACACGATTTGGTTCGGACGTCTTATCTACCAATCAGAAGATGTCAACTGTTTGGCATCTTAAACCGTGTAGCTAACTAGATCTGTTTGCTGGCTCTGACAAAGAAGAAGGAATTGTCGATGAACCCATCAAGACTTGTCGGTTTAAAAAACCAATGGGTATTTGTACCAAGTTTGATAGTGTTGTTTATGTTTGTGATGTGCTGGCGAACTCTTTCACAGTCTGTACTGAGGTTAAACAGTGTTCTCTTTTTCTAAACACCATGGGGTCCTTGTATAATGCGTTCTCTGTGCATAACAAAGGTTCAACATACACCGTTAAGACACCTGATGAGGCTCTTATTCTTGTTCAACAGTGCCAAGACTTTCTTAATGATATTACCGTGGACATAAGATCTAACACAGGAATTTCTTGAACACTAAATGGACTAGAAGGCCATGTCTCGGCCAAGACTATGCAATCAGTTAGCATGACTGAATGGGGCTTTCAGAGACTGTTCGACAACTTAAAGACCTTTCATTATCAAGCAACTAATTTGTTGAGCTGCATGACATTGGATGTCGAAAATTGCCACTCTACAGTTCACATAAAGCAGGCAAACATGTCTGCAAAGGAGTACAGTAGATCCTTCGGAGTGACGATGAAAGAATCCATCAAGAGAGCGACCCAGTTGGGGAGGTATTACCACATGAGCAGAAAATCGTGGTATTCAAAACCCGACGAAACGATTTCATTTTCAAAAGTACCTACCATGAAACCCTTACACTGTCATTGATATATCGCAAGCAGACTGTGAAATTCTACGAAACTGGGCCTCCTCTTAAGGGGCTGCTGTGCGACAACGGACAGTGCGCCAACAAACAACAATGGCGAAGCATGGTACTCTACCAGAATTCATGTACCAGAGAGCGTGTGTCGCATTAGACAACCCGGTCACCATCACTTCTGTGCACAATGCATGTTCCAAGGCCACCAAAACAGTGGATGACCAAACAGCAGAGGATAATACAGCAGATGAGGAATTGGTGGACGAGTTCGATCCTAGCAGTGATGAGGAAATTGAGGAAACTACTGATGAAAGTGTGCCAGTACTTCAACGAACTCTTCAAGGGGAAATCGGAAGCGCAGCAAACTTCCTCCCTGGTGCACGATCTCGATTTGGCAGTGTTATTTGATTTAATGATCGTTTATTGTACTGAAAGATAGTTGCATTTGTCGGATGCTGCTACATATAGACTGGCCTACACTTGACTGGAAATTGGGCGATATGCGTGATGACGTGTTTTGACTACCACTACCACTACTACCACAATCCTTTACGATTTTCCTGCTTTGTGCAAGTTAGAGCGTTAAATTTGTTATATAACGCTAATATGAAAGGGAAAACTAAATGTATTCAAGTAGTAGAAGTAGTAGTTGTAGACCGTTCACAGTCCCCTATTTTTCCGTAAGACTGTCGAGATCAAGCGCTTTGCATTACTGGCAGCCATCTTGGTTTCATATGTACCGAGGGAGCAGGCGTCAGAGATTTTAGGGGGTAACGCAAAGTCTTCCATCTTGACGGTCTTACGGGAAAATAGAGAACTCTAAACTGGTTGTAGTAATAATGACGCCATCATGCAAATGCCCTTTAGAAAACAGTTTTAAGGTAAGACAATTGTTATTCACTATTAGGACTGTATTAGGGCTCACGCCTCACTGCACGCTTTTCGTTTTGTATACACCTACCAAAAGGTTGGACGAATGTAGTCCCCCTAGTGAGCTGTTTTATAAAATTTTCTAAATTTTTACATGATTTTATGAAATATTTTTTACAAACTTCACACTTTTATAAAATTATATATTATTTCGTAAAACTTTGCATGTTTTTGTAAAACAAAATTCGCAATAGTTCAGACATTTATAAAATTGTATATACTTTTATAAAATTTTAGACCAAATTAACAGACTCAGTCTAAATGACTTAGATTAACTAAATAATATGAATTTTTAAGAAATTAACTTAAAAACAAAATAATTAGTTGATTCAGAAACATATAAATGACAGTTTTAAATAAGTTGACAAAAAGTACTCAAATTCCTACAAAGACAGGTATTAGGTCAACTCACAAGTCTGAGGTTGAGTGCACAGACACAGTTTAATCTGATTCTAAACTCCACTCAAAGTACATAATATAAAATCTTTCCTTTAATACTCTTAAACATGAAATGCCAGTCTCATTTAAATGTTACATGTGTTATGTACATATTGTAAGGGTTTGGTTGTAAAATCATAAAACATGAATGACATGCTATCGGTTATCATCACTTGGTGAGAATGAAAGCAGTTTTAACTCCACATACTACAAGATGAGGTTAGGTGGTGCCGGGTTACCAACTAATAAAGCATGTTGCTCTGCTTGCTGTGGTTGGTTTACAAAATCTATGATAAGTGCATTTCGTTCCCATTGCTATCCCAATGTTTAATGTTTCCTTGGCAGTCAGCTGTTTGACACGCTCCTGTTGCTCAATGTTTGACTCTTTTTAATGTCACAGCACATCCATGCCTCTGGAATAATTATGAGTTCACGTCCCTGTTAACGGTCTTTGGGTGACAATTCCTATGAGAATTGCCACTTTCACAATTCATGTCTACCACTGAGGATCAACTTTATCTCATTCTAAAGTGGGTCTGAACTGAGGCAAGTCATATTTCTTGATTAGGCTCTTTGATTCTTTCTTCATGTCTTCCAGTCTCAGACACAAACAATTTGTAAAGTGCCTAACAGGTATGAAAAGGCACTTAAGCAACAAAAAGTTTTTTCTCCTGTCCTTCCAGTAGGGCAGCCTTCCTGACAATACTTGTAACTGGAATGACTTTCACGCTGCAATAAAATACAAAACAACCATCTTTATTTAAACACTGGCAGTACAATATGAATCTTAAAGCACTGGAGGACCCCTTACCAGGTATAAAAATTATTAACCCATAAAAATTTAAAGGGAACATTATTAGGTCAAAAAAAATACAAAATATTTATTATCGATGTTTCAAATGATAATAAGTTCAAATGAACCTTAGGGGATCAATTCAGGCTCCGTAAAATGTAATCCTCTATACCATTACCCAAGTTAAAACTTTTATATTCGTTAGTAGACAACACCCCTATATGTTTCTTTAAAATAGCGTGTAAAGATAACCGACAAGAGTGTTTAATATTGTCTACATCCCCCATGCTTCCAACCTTTTGATAAAAAACAGACTTTAAATGCCTATCATATTCCTGGTTATACCAAGTAGAAGTATTAAGAGACCAACCCAAATTTTTATTGCTTTCCCGTAAAATGAAAGCATTATCCCGACTCAAATCTTCTAAGAGTTTTAACCCACCTTTTATACTGCTCATCCCCCTAACCTGTAGAGAAAAATTGCTTCTAACAGACTTGATAGAGTAAAAATCAGTTAATTTTAAAGCCTTATTAATAAACCTTCTCTCTAAATAGCCTACCCTAGGATGGAAAAAGTAGCGCATAATTTCTTTCCTAACATTCACCCTACTACCTCCCCCTCTCATTCTCCTACCTTTCACCTTTAAACCAGCTAAGTATTCCACATAACTTAATACAGCCAGCCCAGTCTGACGTTTCATTATGCGGTGCTTCCTCTTATCATCTAATATCGTATTGTCCTTCAAAACAAATCCACCACCATTGTTCAGAATCTGCTTCTCATCTCTAGATACAACTTTATGTGTAAAATTATGCAAATTCTCTCTATCCCGCTGCCTTTCTCTTTCATATACAAGATGTTCATCCTTCACTCTATCTTCATAAATTAGAACCTGCAAGTCATTTGATACTAGAGCATCCCTTTCCTTTACAAGGTTTAAATAACAACTCAAGGTGAGTTTCAATTCTCCAACTATCACTTGACCTCCTCTAATATGTCTTCTCTCCTTTTGTTTAGTGAAATAGTCTCTCCCTCTCTTATTCTTCCACTGTAATAATTCAGAGGTAATTTGTTTCGTCCTGCTTGTTACAATAGGGACCTTAAGCATCGACAACGAAACGGACGACGACGACGCTTCGCAACCGCGGCAGACTGGGCCAAGGGTTTGGTTTTCGGCAGGGAAAACGAAGTTTAAGCAGTGCAGCTTCCCACACGGACGACGACTTTTTCTTTGCGAAGAACTTTGTCTTGTTACAGTCTTGTTAGGGCATTCAAAGACGTCTGTAATTTGCATTTTACAAGGTATGACGATGGTTTAATCGACCATGGCGAATTCATTGTTCTCTACTACCTGGATTATTTGATTGTGGAAGCTTTCTCTTCATCGCGCAGCTTCTGTTTTTGTTTTGAAATGAAGTTAAACCTGTATACCGATCTCGAACAGCTCTTGACTTGCAGTTAAGCTAAATTTCGGGTGCTGAAGAGAATTCAGCGCCGCTGCAATGTTCTCCCATATTTGTTCTCTCTCAGGGCTCCTCATAGTCACATCATGTCCAAGCTGAGTCCACTGGAAAATAGTTGCCTTTACTAGCGGCTAAAAACAACATGGGAAATTATTAAATCTTAGTAGGAAAAAATGAACATTTATCCTATAGTACAACCTAGAATGCATGAGTAAACATAGGACCGTAAGGGAACGAACAGCAGCTAATCTAAAAGGTTCGGAAGATAGCAGAGGAAAGCTTACTTGTCTTTCCGACTTGTTGTTCCTCCATCACTCAGGTTTTCAAACAAACCGAACTTGAAAAATAAATTCAAGTTAGCAGGCGAAGAAACCGACAAAGTGTTTAACATTTGGATTCTGCTAATCCACAAAGAATATATTTCTACTTGTACGGAATGACAAGGGGTAAAAGAGTGATTTACACGCAAAAAGTATAGTTTTATACTTACGTTTTAGTGACGAAGGCTGGACGACGTTTTGACAACCTTACGCATGCCCAGAAGGTTCGCACGGGAAAATTTCACTTCCGGTCGGCGGCGTCGTCCCATTTCGTCATCAATGCTTAAGGTCCCTAATGTCATCCACAGATTTCTTTAGGGTAGCTATCTCCAACTCTATATCTTTCTCTTTCTCTGTAAAATCCTGTCTTGTTTTTTCGTCTTTACATGTCACCACACCGCTAACAGATATATATTCAACATCTAAGTAAATCAGTCCTCAAGCAAGAAGTAATAAAACGAGATTTGATAACCTTTTCATGCCAAACTTGTAAATTATTTGTCATTCTGTTATCTTAGCATCCTCTGCAACTTTTACATACGTAAATTTTACTAACGACTAACTTACAAACAAACTTAAGGTCTGCTCACGCATAGGAGTATTTTAAAGTATACAAATGTTCAGTCGCTTAGCATTTTTTAGCACACGACACGTACTGGAGCGAGATGCAACTTTTTGAATTTTGCTTGGCGTAATTAATGCAATCGCGTAACCCACAGTAATTCCTCAGACCATCAAAACTTCCATATGCAACCCTCACGTACACCAGAAACCAGAAGAAAGGTAAGCCTTCATAACACGTAATCTTCTGTGTTTACGCTAAGACTAAATTTGTAAATAATATAAAGAACTAGACCAAATTTTACTCACCCTCTCCTGCTATAGACCAACGACATGGACACGCCAACTCGCCCAAAGGCCAAACAGCCCAATATCCAGGTATGAGATTTTTAGATAAAGCAAGGAGCATCTTTAAGTAACAAAAGACACGTAGGGCTCAGCCAAATGGTACCATAATGGCGTCGAAACGTGTGGAAACAGGTTTTCTCCGAAACCCGCTCCATTCCCCTACGGCATATTCTCTTCCCTCCCCTCCCTAACCTGTTGCCTTGATTGCCTCCTGAGCTCCTGATGAGACAAGGCTTTCAACATTTTGTTGAGATAAGATGCTTTTTGTTTAAAAGGGTGAGCTCATCGTATCACATTATCGTGCAGTCCAGGGAAAGATAAGCTAATAAATAATAGAAAAGTTATTATGGGTGGGTTAATCACTTTTGCTGCTGTCCCCAGAGGAGGAGTTTGAGGTACGCAGCTGCCTGGCAGCGATAGAAACAGAAGAAAGAAAGAGAGAATTTGAAAAGAAGGAAAAGGACCTGAAGGAAAAGGAGGAAAAATTGAAACAAAAAGCCAGAGAAATTAGGAGTGCCACCATAGAAGCCAAGCGGGTGGCTGCCCAGCTACAGCTTATGGCGGGGCAGCTAGGCCGTTTGGCCAACCACATTTTGGCAGAAGCCAAGAAATAGAAAGATATAAGAAAGAAATTCAAACAACAGCATGAATTTTGTTATTATTTATTGTACAAATCGAGTCTTCTATTACAAATCGTTTTTATTGGTAAAAAAATAGTATACGAAGTCCTTAATAGTTGTCTCCTAAGTCGAACCTGTAATGAATATATAGCAAAAATAAACATATTTCTCGGATCCTGAAGAATCTTTTCCTTTTTCACCGTATCCACGCCTATGCCTCCATCCTCCGCTTTCCTATATTACACCACTATCTTTGTGAAATTTATCACCCCATACTGGTTCTGTACAGGCTTCCAATTGGCAGGCACCCCCTCCACCTTACACAACAAACATTCTTCACCACCATGCACTAGTATCTGTCCTCGCCATCCACAGAGTCTTCCCGCTCAAGGAAGCACTTTATTTTGAACCTGTCAGATAAAATTAAATTAATAAAAGAGATTGATAGATATACAAAAATCCAGGTATAGAAAGCAAATAAATATAGACAACATAACCCCGAATTACATGGTAACATCAATATAACCCCGAATTACATGTTAACATCTCTATAAATATATACATTATTATCAGTATAATCCCATATCGCGTATTCAGCATCTCTTAGATCTGATAATATAATGTTTTCCACACCAACTCCCTAAACTACACCACAAACTAATTCCGCTCCCCTCCCTCCCCCACTAGCAAAAAAATATACAGCCCCTTATTTTTACAACTTTAAAACTTCAGGTGCATTAACAAAATAATTTAAATACACATTTCTCTTCTGGAGTCAGTAAATAAATGATAACCCGTAACTAAATGAGAACCTATCAACCTATATACAAATGTCTATTCTTGGACCAATAACCAATAACTAAATGAGAAATTGTTAATCTATCTGCAAAAAGCCATCTGCAATAAACCATAGCAATGACTGAGCGTTGTAGAATATATCAGTATAGACAGTGAAGCAATGAGGTTAAATTGTTGGGCCGCCTGTGGTCGTGGGGTGACTGCGGCTTTGCCGAGACACGCCTTCTGGGATTTTGCCACAAAGCTATGTTGGCTGGAGAATGAAACTAAGCAAGCAGGAGGATGAGGCAATGCTGAGCAAACCCAAAAGATTTCTAAGGATGAACAATGTCGCTTGGCATATCTGTCAATAGCGTACAGTCCGAATATGTTAAAAAAATAAAAAATATGCTACAATAAAACCGACGCCCCACATTCCCAGTCCCGATGGACCCCCTTCCTTGATATTAACTAAATAAACAAACATTGATGCTTGTGTCAGTTTCTGAACTCATGTAGTAGTTATTGAACTATATTGTCGTTCTTGAACTTTTGTGTCTTTGTTTAACTACGCAGTGTTTAAAACTGAATTTTAACTGGGTTTTAGTAATGCTTATGTCATTTTCTGAACTCATGTAGTTGTTATTGAACTTTGTTGTCGTTCTTGTACTAAGGTGTCTTTATTGAACTACAAAAAAGAAAAATGGTTTATAATCTCCTCTTGTAGAAAACTGGTTTTTAGTTCAATACGAGGACGATCCAGTTATAAGNTGTCGTTCTTGAACTTTTGTGTCTTTGTTTAACTACGCAGTGTTTAAAACTGAATTTTAACTGGGTTTTAGTAATGCTTATGTCATTTTCTGAACTCATGTAGTTGTTATTGAACTTTGTTGTCGTTCTTGTACTAAGGTGTCTTTATTGAACTACAAAAAAGAAAAATGGTTTATAATCTCCTCTTGTAGAAAACTGGTTTTTAGTTCAATACGAGGACGATCCAGTTATAAGAGTGCTCAATGAAAGGGAGGTTGAGCACCTTGACCCGGACGATAATGAAGAAATGCAAGAGGGGGAAACTGTAATGGCTTTCTGGTCAGCAGATAGAGAATTTTACGAAGCAGCAATCATCAAAATTAGCAGTGAGTGTTTTATAAAAAAACAAGTTAGGAGTTGAGAGTGTGAGAGGAGGGATGAGAACCTGCAACCAGTGTATCACATGTTTCCAGGTTCACCAAGATATAATACACGCGTGCTTAAGATATGCGAAAACTGAAAATTTCTGAATAATGATTATCATAATATTTATATTTAAACCTACAAAAAACAAGCCCACAACTCTTTCAGACTCAGTAGCCAAATGCCCAAAAGCAGGCAAAAGTGAGTAGGTAAAATATCATTGTGTGCTTGAGAATGCAATTATACGATGTTCTGCCAGGTAGATCACTGTGATTTTTGAGCTACATGTAATGATCTAGATGTGTGAATAGATTGTTGTATTCACAACTTTTATACTAAAAGACTTCAACAGCCTGAAATAAGGTAACCAAAGACAAGCACGTTCTCTTATTTAAACAAAAGCTTACCTTTTTGCTTTTTGTTTTGAAGATGATAAGAGTGAACTTCTTAAAGAAAAGAGAGCTCTTGAAACGAGTTTAAGGAAAAGCGCAGTGGGGAAAGCAATATTCAACAGTGATCCACAACAGCCTATAAAGAAAAAAAACAAATCATCACAGAAACAACCAGTACCAAAGAAACCCACTGCAAAAGATGAAGAAAAGGCAAAGAAAGAAGGAATAAAAAAGGTAAGAGAGGCTGAGAAAGCGGAAGTTGAGAAAACAACATGGAGAATTTCTCACGAACAAAGTAGGGATGACCATCAGCTCAATGATAATCTACAAGAAACCGACTGCAGTTTGTCACTCCATGGTATGAATACTACTCCATCATCCACCCGCAGCCCATCTCCTGTAAATGTATATGGAGCACAGAAAAAACCTAAAATGATCATCACTAACACCTCTGTTGCTAGTCCACCTTCCAAAATTTTAATTGTAGGTGAACCAGTTCTTAACTCTAGAAAAACATCTTCCCATGCCCATGCAAAGAAAAAGGCTAAAAGGACAACCACTGGCACAGCTAAAAATGTATCATCCAGTAACTCACCAATGGACGGAAAGGTTTTAATCCCTGAAGAAATACCTACACAAAGAGGAGCAAAGAAAAAGGCTCAAACGATGACATACAGTGGTACAGGTGACAGGTCAACTCCTAAGGTGCGTGCAAGACAACACAAGCATTTTACGCCAATGGTAATAATTGATCAGCACCTCGAACCTTTCACACTAATAAGCCTCGTTTAATACTGGGTATTGAATGGATTTTGCTTTTGCATGAGGATGACATTGTTTTATATGAGCTCTGTTAGGAGCTTTACCACCCTTAAAAATCAAGAGGCGTAAAAATTATGCTATAGGAGCTTTTAGTATTAAACTGGCTAAAACAATAAAACAATTAAGTTCTGATAATTGATTTTCCTTTTTGTAGCGCCGCCCTCTTCCCACCAAAAACATTGTTTGTGTCCCCTCATCAGAGTCAGATAACTCAGCTGATGACTTGACCAATGTAGAGGAAGACTCAGATATGTTTCTGGAAAAGATTACTGCAAGAGGTGAATAAACTGATTTGTTATGTCTCATATCGAGATCACATGACATCTGACAATGAAACCGTTTCCTGCCAAAATCTCTGAGCGGGCAACATTGCAAAATGTTGATCGATGACCGCCATTACAGTGAGGTTTAATGAATTTCTAGCTTCAAAATATCCAGCTATGTAACAAATGACTTAAAGACTGGCCCTCGGGAAACATTAAGAAACATTATCATTAAGTTTCCCTCGTGACTAGTCATTAAGCGTTTAATATTTGGGCACTTAGGATGCACGATGCCCTTAATGAAAGATTTGCAAAAAGCGCCTTATCAGTTTGTAACATGCTTTTTATCACCTTGCAGCTCGAAAATCTAAGAAAGCCAAGAAGAGTGTGCCAAAAAGGAAACCATCACAGATTAAACCACAAGATACAACTTAGGTAACTGAACATAATAAGGAGATTGAAAAACACAATCAGCATTTAATTCCTATAAGGCAATTTATTCAATTATCATTCCTGAATGAGTTTTGATAATGGTCTGGAAATGCTGGGGTATGTTCAGTTTTTAAGGCCGTGTTAATGGATGCCAAAATTGTAAAGCTGTATACGATTGTTCTGGACAATCCAATTTTTAATGTCTATGATAATATTTCATTCTAATTGATCCCATCTTTACATGAGGATTAAGGTTCTTTTACAACCCAAGGTCATGTGATAGCATTTTTACACAACAATCAATTTCTACAAGTACTTCTGGGCAGTTGAAATTATGTACAATAATGCTCCTTTTATAGGAAAACAACGAAGAAAATTACAGAGAAAAATATATGGAATTGCAGCTACAGATGCAGCTTCAAGAAAAGCTGCAAAACGAAAATGCAAGAGAGAAAACAAAGGCAATGGAAAATGAAAAAAAAGAAAGGGAGAGGCGGGAGTGGGAAGAACAAGAAAAAAAGAGGGAAAAGAAAAAAAAAAACAGAGAATAGAAGGGAAAAAGCAGACAGAAGAAAAAGGGAGAAAAAGGCAGAAAAGGGAGAAGAAAAAAAAAGAAAGGCAAAAACAAGAGAAAAGAAGGGCCGAGAAAAGAAAAAAAAAAGAAAAAAAA